ACCCAGTGATTCAGTCTGGCAGTTCGATGACTGCAGCCTTCTTTCTGATGTATTACATCAGATGTATTACAAGGGAAGGGTGTTGTAAGGGTAAGGGTAAACACCAGATTCAGGATGTATTTATCTTAGAATTAAAGGAAAATAAGTGTGAAGTGTGTAATTCCTGCAGAATTGGGGGCAGAAAAGCAAACTTAGTTACAGACATGCAGAGTTAGGAGCAGTTAAAGTGTAAAAAAAAAAAACAAACAAACAAACTAGGAATGTTCAGGCCAGCTCACTGCTCTCTTTATCTTCTTTGTTCTCAGGAAAGGGAAAGGAAAAAACCTCATTCCTCTTTTTTTTTCCTTTTCACTGCAGCAACACTGACAAATGGGTAACCTGAAGTGGGCCCAGCTAGCTGACAGCAGACAGCCGTATCCAGGGTTGGGAGATTTTCAAGACAGCAGCTGGGGCTCAGGGTGAGGAGGTTGGACGTGGGGAGTTGTTGCTATTCAGTCACCCAGTCGTGTCCAACTCTTTGCGACCCCATGGACTGCAGCGCGCCAGGCCTCCCTGTCCCTCACCATCTCCTGGAGTTTGCCAAGTTCATATTCCTTGCATTGGTGATGCCGTCCAGCCATCTCATCCTCTGATGCCCTCTTTTCCTCCTGTCNCATATATGAGGTTGTTGATGTTTCTCCCACTGGTCTTGATTCTAGCTTGCAACTCATCCAGCTCGGCATTTCTCATGATGTGCTCAGCGTATACGTTAAACAAACAGGGTGACAGCAGACAGCCCTGTCATACTCCTTTCTCAATCCTGAACCAGTCAGTTGTTCCATACAGGGTTCCTGACCGCATACAGGTTTCTCAGGAGACAGGTAAGATGCTCTGGTTTTCCCGTCTCTCTAAGAGCTTTCCACAGTTTTTCATGGCCCCAGTCAAAGGCTTTAGCATAGTTGATGAAACAGAGATAGACGTTTTTCTGAAATTCCCTTGCTTTCTCTATAATCCAGTGAATGTTGGCAATCTGATCTCTGGTTCGTCTTCCTTTTCTAAAGCCAGCTTGGACATCTAGAAGTTCTTGGTTCGCATAATGCTGAAGCCTAGCTTGCAAGATTTTAAGCGTGACCTGACTAGCATGGGAGATGAGTGCAATTATACGCTAACAAGTGGGTGACCCGAAGTGGGCCCAGCTGACAGCAGACAACCATGTCCAGGGTTGGGAGATTTTCAAGACAGCAGTTCAGGCTCAGGGTGAGGAGGTTGGAGGTGGGGAGTGTCTCCTGCTGATACAGGCTAGTGTGGGCTACAGCAAGGCCGGTCCTGTGGTGTGCAGCCTGGGGCACATTCCAGGGCTTGGTGTCCTTGACCTCTGTGCCCTGAGTGTCCCCAGCTATTCATTTAATGATACATTAGTTCTTGAAAGCTGATATGTTAACTTTTAGAAAGATCTGGTGCTAGCTCAGTATTTATGTTTTGACTCAACTCCGGCAGCTGGCTGACATCCATGACATTCAGATCCTGAGACTGAATGCACTGTTCCCACCAAAATGGCTTGTGTGTTAAAACCACAAGTATCAGGCCTTATTAGAATTCTTTAGGGAGGGACAGTAGAAAAAACACCTTAACAGAAACTTAATGAAGCCTGGGAGCAAAAGAATAAACACAACACACATTATTAGCCTTTAAAAATCTTTAGCTTTTCCCTTTGTGCCTTTTGATTACTGTGTTTGTATGTCATTATGTTCTCAATGTCTGGTTTTGCTTTTAAAAACTGTACATGTGCATTAATTTGCAGATTCGATTTCCTTGTTCTTATTTACAAATTTTTTTGGTATTCGGATAGCCTAAACAGTTATTTAGAGGGAAACATTTTTAAGGAAAAAAAAATCCATAATCCTACCACCTTAACACATGAAGCAAAACATTTTTATTTTTAATTTTCAGGTTTTGCCTTAGAGCTCTATTGAAAGTGGATATAATCACCGTAAATATACAATTTTCAAATCTACTTTGTTCACCAGATTTTGTTTTCCTATTTACAGCTACGTTATGCTACCTACTACCCCAAATGGGACTCCTGAGCGTTCCCTACAAAACCCACCCCACTTGCACCTTCCGCATCCCCGAGTCAGCCTGAATCCCTCTCTTTTTCCCTTCATCTCTAATCTGAAAGGAATCTGACCGGCCCCACTTCCAACCTGGTGTACTGTCCCCTAGGGTTGCCATAACACAGGACCACAAACCAGTGACTGGCAACCACAGAATTGCATTGTCTCCTCGCTCTGGGAGGTAGAAGTCTGACAAGGCGCTGGCAGGGCCGCGACCCTCTGAAACCCGTGAGGGAGGATCCTTCCTTGCTTCTGACGGTGGCTGTTGGTCCTCGGCACTCCTGAGCTACCGCAGCTTGCTCTCGTATGTCTTCACATGGCGTTCTTCTCTTCCTATAAGGACCTGGATTTGGAGAAGGAAAAGGCTACCCACTCCAGTGTTCTGGTCTGGAGAATTCCATGGACTGTATAGCCACGGGGTTGCAAAGAGTCGGACTTGACTGAGCGACTCTCACTCACTCACCCTGGATTAGGCCCCAGACAGATGACCTCATCTTAACTTGATTGTATTTGCAGAGACACCAGTTTCCAAATAAGATCACATTCACAGGTACCCGGGCTCAGGACTTCACCATAACTTTGTGCAGGGGGTAGGGACACACAAGTCCCTAGGAAACGCCCAGAACACCACGCCCTTCTCTCTTCCCCACCTCCTTCCCACCCTGTGCTGGTTAAGTCTCCCTCACCCTTTCCTCCCTGGAATTATTACAGTAACCTCCTAACTGGTTTTCTTTCTCTGTTTTTCCTTCTGGCTCTGCTGGGTCTTTGTTGCGGTGTGCGGGCTTAGTTGGCCTTAGTTGGGATCCTGGACTTCCCAGGTGGTGCTAGTGGTAAAGAACCTGCCTACCAATGCAGAAGACTTAAGAGATGTGGGTTTAATCCCTGAGTCGGGAAGATTCCCCTGGAGGAGGGCACAGTAACCCACTCCAGTATTCTTACCTGGAGAATCCCCATGGACAGAAGAGCCTGGCAGACTGCAGTCCATGGGGTCACACAGAGTCAGACACGACTGAAGTGACTTAGCACGCACACACATGTGGGATCTCAGTCGTGCCCCCAGAAAGGAACCTGCATGTGCAGCACTGGAAGGCGAATTCTTAACCACTGGACCACCAGGGAAACCTCCTAGCTGGTGTTCTAGTCACATCTGATGCCATGGTCTCGTCTCGATTCCTTTGTTTAGAACCCTCCGCCTGGGGGATTTACTCCCTACTCACTCAGAGTAAAAGCTGAAGTGGCAATGGCCCTACGGTCCCTCCCGACCTGCAGTCTTTCTGTCTCCCGCCCCTCTCGGCTCCAGAGCCTCTGGCCTCCTCGCTGATCCTCCAGCTCACAGGCATATTCCTGTCTCTGGGCCTTTGCACCTGCTGACGTTCCCTTTGCCCGGGGTGCTCCCTCCCAGTTATCCTCCTGGCTCTGCCAACTCCCGCCTTCCTGGTGAGCCTTTTCTCACCACTGCTGTTACATCACACCCTTTCTCTCACCCACCCCGACAGTCTCTTTTGCTTTTCACCATTTTCAGTTTAGTTCAGTTCAGTCACTCAGTTGTATCTGACTCTTTGAGACCGCATGGACTGCAGCGCGCCAGACCTCCCGTCCATCACCAACTCCCGGAGTTTACTTGAGTAAACTCATGTCCATCGAGTCAGTGATGCCATCCAACCATCTCATCCTTTGCTGTCCCCTTCTCTTCAATCTTTCAATCCTTCAATCTTTCCCAGCATCAGGGTCTTTTCAAATGAGTCAGCTCTTTGCATCAGGTGGCGAAAGTATTGAAGTTTCAGCTTCAACATCAGTGCTTCCAGTGACTATTCAGGACTGATTTCCTTTACGATGGACTGGTTGAGTCTCCTTGCAGTCCGAGGGACTCTCAAGAGTCTTCTCCAAACCACAGTTCTTCAGCGCTCAGCTTTCTTTATAGTCCAACTCTCACATCCATACATGACCACTGGAAAAACCATAGCCTTGACTAGATGGACCTTTGTTGGCAAAGTAATGTCTCTGCTTTTTAATATGCTGTCTAAGTTGGTCATAACTTTCCTTCCAAGGAGTAAGCATCTTTTAAATTTTTTACTTTTCTCCAAAACACTCTCTACTGTCTCAGAGACTGTTCTTTACTTACTTATTTTCTTTTTTATCTACCACCAGCATCCAAATGTAAGCTTCTCAAGGACTGGAGTTTTTGTCTGTTTTGTTATTTGTTCCATCTTTAGCACCTAAAATAGGGCAGGACCCAGAGTAGATAGACAGTGAATATTTGTAGGATTAATGAGAAAAGAGGCCAGTGTATTTTCTCATAAACTACTAAACCACTTATCCTTATTAAGTGTTCATCTTATTTTCCAGAATTTTTTGGTCACTTGTGAATGATACTGCTATAAATAGCTTATTCCATATAGTTAATTTTCTCTTTTTTTCAGTTATGTTTTGGGGTCACAGTTCCAGAGTGAATATTGTCAAATGTCCTTCCAGAAGAGTTTTTATGGATTTATAATGCCACCCACTATAAATAAGTCTGACTCTGTTTCCCTGTTGCCTTGCCACCACTGGATTTTATCTTGTCTTTACTTTTGCAGTTTACTAATTTTGCCTTGTGAGTGTTTTGATTTGCATTTCTTTAACTTTTAAATACAATTGTTAGGAAATTCCCTGGCAGTCCAGTAGTTAGGACTCTGTGCTTTCAATTGTTCTTATGTTCTTTAGTACCTTCTGGTATGAATTGTCTGATCCTGACTCCTGATTTTTTTCTCAAGAGGGAAGTTTTAGTTTCATATTTATTTATGCATCCTCCTTTGGGGGCAACGGCATTAATCCTTGCTTATATTTGTTGTAGGTATGCTTCCAATCTACTATGCCCTTTACCTCTGTTTGTGTTTCTACTTAACCTCTGTGTTTTCATCTTTACAGCTGTGGACTATTGCGCCTCAGAAAACCACGGATGTGAACATGAGTGTGTAAATGCCGACGGCTCCTACCTTTGCCGGTGCCCTAAAGGATTTGCTCTTAACCCAGATAAGAAAACATGCGCAAGTAAGTTACATGCACATTTTTTGATTGCTATAGGCACCCCAGCCATGGAAATCTTCCAAGCAAAGAGTAGCATAGGATTATGTGCTGGAGTTGGGGGACCTCACACCTTCTGACCCTGTTCCTCCTCTGTCAAGCCTTTCTTAACTGGTCTTAAGACCACAGCCCACTCAAGCTCAATGTCACCCTTCCCAGCGTCTGACAATGGTATGTATCTGTTATTAGAGGCCACGTGTGGGAGCGCTCCTCTGGCATTTGCAGAGGATGCTGGTGATCAGATCATCTTACTTCATGCTGGCTCAGCCTGACTGTGCCCACCAGTATTAACAGGCCTTAAGAAATTCTTTCACTGAGGTTTTGTGGCTTGTGGGCTTCAGCTCTGACTTCACACAAGTAAAGGAAAATCTCTGAGCCAGAAGGAGTTGACTGTGGTTGCCCCTGAGTGGGGGAGGGGTAGGTGGAGGGCATTTTGCAGTGAAACTGCTCAGTCTTTGTTTAAGCTACTTATTTCTATTTGATTCTAACTATACACATCCACACAGCTTCCCCATGGCTCAGTGGTAGAGAGTCTGCCTGCAATGCAGGAGAGATAGGCTCAATCCCTGGGTCAGGAAGATCCCCTGGAGAAGGGCTTGGCAACCCACTCCAGTATTCTTGCCTGGAGAATCCCCATGGACAGAGGAGCCTGGTGGGCTACAATCCATGGGATCGCAGCGTCGGAGACAACTGAAGTGACTTAGCACACAAGCATACACATCCACATCACAATTAATTTGACCTCCCCAAATCTGACCAATTTATAAACTGAGGGCTGTTGCTCATTTTGCCAAAGGATCCCAAAAGCATTCTTTTGAATGTAAAGCTATGTCAGAACACTCAAGGGATCATATATGAATAATTGTCATGCTCTAGAAAAGTTCACTTGAGAGAAGCTTGTTTTTAAAGTACCAGGACCCAGCATTTAAAAAAAGTGAAGTTTAACAGCAATTTAGAATGTCACCTCTGAAGCATACATCAACTGGAAAACAGAATTTCAATTCATAAAAAGGTCATGTACCTGCAACCTTTCTAAAAACATCTATTATGTAAAGCAGGATGTGCCTGCATAGTTTTGAAAAGCATCCCCCAAACTCCTGAAACATCACCTTGCTCTTCAGTCCCAGTGCTTGTCATGTGCCCAGTCGCTCAGTTGTGTCCGACTCTTTGCAACCCCATGGGCTGTAGCCTGCCAGGCTCCTCTGTTCACGGGATTTTCCAGGCAAGAATACTGGAGTGGGTTGCCATTTCCTTCTCCAAGGGCTCTTCCCGAGCCTGCGTCTCCCGTGTCTCCTGCGTTGGCAGGTGGATTCTTTACCACTGAGCCACCTGCGAAGACTGGTGGCTCTTCAACCCCTACATCTCAAACAAACATCAGAGCTGGCATCAGGGGTGGAGGATGGAACTACAAGGGACACAGGAAGTCAAAGCATGAGTTTCTGGAGCCCAAATCACATGCCAGTAGCAATGAAGAAGCCCAGGTCCTTCCTAGAGAAGATATCTTGGCTGAGTCTTGAAGGCAGCGCCATCCTTCACCAAGTGAAGAAGAGTGAGGTGGAGGTGGCTGGGAGGAGGTAAGATGTGCAAAAATGTCAGCCAGACAAGACTCGGTGCCACGCCTGGCACCTGACTGGCCTACAGTTGCTTATTGAAAGAATCAGTAACTGTGTGAATGGACTTGACTGTCCATAGTCTCCCTTCCTTTCTGAATGGTCTATGCTATGAGCCAGCAGCCTGGGCCAAGGTAGCATTCAGGGAGTTGTGGTTGCTGGGCTGATGAGTCAGTTCTGTCCGTCAAAGTGGAGGCTGTTGGCACCAAGGGCACTTCCAACCCCAGAGCATCTGTTTTTGCTGGGTGATCTTGGGCAAGTCCTTGATGCCTCAGTTGCCTCAACTGTTATAGGGGAGATATTACCGCCTATTTCATAGTGTTGTCTTGAAGACTAAATGAGAGAATTCATCTAAACCATTTAGCTCATGGCCTGGTGCCAAGCAGTTCTTTTAAGGGATGACACTGGCTTTAAAGACTTTAAATCAGGACTTGCTGAGCATATACCTGAATATTCATTGGAAGGACTGATGCTGAAGCTGAAACTCCAATACTTTGGCCACCTGATGCAAAGAATCGACTCATTGGAAAAGACCCTGATGCTGGGAAAGATTGAAGGCAGAAGGAGAAGGGGATGACAGAGGATGAGATAGTTGGATAGCATCACCGACTCGATGGACATGAGTTTGAGCAAGCTCTGGGAATTGGTAATGGACAGGGAGGCCTGGTATGCTGCAGAACATGGGGTCGCAAAGAGTCGGACACAACTGAGCGACTGAACTGAACTGAGCTTATACCATATGCCTGGGCTGAGTTTAATAGGGCATAAAAAATTCAAAATTCAAGACTTCCACTGGAGGTTGGTTGGGAACACAAGCCAGGCGGAGCAGCTCAGTCACGGGCAAGGTGTTACATGACTGAAAGCTCCCAGGGTGACGCAGACAAGGCTCTTGGCAGGAGTTAAGGGAAGGAGGAGGCCAGTTGGAATAGAAGACGTGGGAACACTCCTGCCACCCGGGGATGAGGCCCGGAGGAAGGCATGGATGCCATCCAGTCTCCTTCCTGCCCTTACAGAACGCCTTCCTGGGCCAGGCTCGCCTGACCTCACCCCAGCCCCTGGTCCCAGAGCCTCATCATCAGCATGTCCCGTAGCCCAGAATCTCCCAGGATGTGGAGAATGAAACTAGGAGACCCTAGAAGTAGACAGCACAGTGCAGGGGGCCTGGGAGAGGCGTCCAGCTGAAAGTCAGGGGTGGTGGGAAGGGGTGCCAGGGACTGTCCGGCTGGGAGGTCTCACCAGCTAGGCGTGGAGGCAGGTCAGCTGTCTCTCTGTCTTGTTGGAGTCAAGACCCAGAAGTGGACCACCCGCGTGTGTGGGCTGAGAAGAGTAGTTAGGCAGTCAGCCTCTGGGAGATGTGTCCCCCAGGAGGGTCCCCTTCTTGCTGTGCTTGGGGCAGGGCAGGGAGCCCGACTTGGGGAGGGGACTGGCATGAGAGCAGAGACCCCCGGAGAACTCGGGGGGCTGTGAGCGTGGGTGACAGGCAGTATGGTTGTAAGAACCGAGACCCTTGGGAATGTCCCAGATGTGTGACAAAAACAGGGACACAAGCTGAGAAATGGGAACGGTTAAGAGGACAGACACACAGGATGGAGGCAGGAGCTCAGATATCAAGGCGGGGGTCCTGTTAGTAATTAATGAGGTATGGCGTTGGCGTTCAGCCAAGCCAGAGCCTGGCCGCTTCTGTGATGTTGAGAGATTTAAAACAATCTCTTTCCATTCCTCATTAACTTGCCAAAAATAAAACAATAAAACCCTTAGTTCTTTAACTTTGAGTCTCTATTTTTAATCAGAAATATATTTGAAAGCTAATCCAATTAGTAAGTGTGCAATTATTGTCTAAAAAAGGTAGACTAGTCAATCTAATAATATACCAAGCATGATTAATTTATGATGAAGCCAGGATGTACATAATAGAGCTTTATGTTCCTGAACAAATCATATAATTAAAATATGTAAGTAGCATTCAAAAAAACACCACCTTTTATATCAGTTCCTTACCCTAAAGCATCCCATACAAATCTATCTGACTATTTTCTAGACAGGAGAAGGCTGTAAATATGCAGGTGCCGTCAATTTGCAAAATATTGACAAGACTTTTTTTTTATTATGGTAAAATATACATAATATGAGATTTACTGTTGTAACCATTTTTAAATGTGCAGTTCAGTGGCACCAAATGCATTCATGTTGTACAACCATCACCACCATCCGGCTCCAGAACTTTTCATTTCCCTAAACTGAAGCTCTGTGTCCATTAAACAGTAATTTGCCTCTCCTCCACTTTCCCCACCCCCTGCCCCTGGCAATCACCTTTTAAAAAATATTTATGTGTTTTAAAATACATAAATATTTATGGAGAAGACCCTGTGCTGGGTCTTCGTTGCTGCGTGGACTTTTCTCTAGCTGCGGAGAGCGAGAGTTCCTCTCCACTTGCTGCAGGAGGGTTTCTCGTTGTGGCGGCTTCTCTCATTGCGGAGCAGCGGTTCTAGGCTTGCAGGCTTCGGTAGTCGTGGGTCCCAGGCTCTTGGGCACAGCCTCAATAGTGTGGCCCAAAGGCTCAGTTGCTCCATGCCATGTGGGATCTTCCTGGGAGTCTGGCAGAGTACAGTCCACGGGATCACAAAGAATCGGACACGACTGAGCACATAGGCACATCATACGGTAGATGAAATAGAAGAGATCAGTCTTTGAGTTTCCTGGACGGCTTTTCATTAACCTGCTGAGCCCCAGTATCTTCCTACCATCCGCAATGTGCCACTTCCTACAGTCCACAACGTGAGACTTGGGTGCATGAATCAAAGACTCTTGGTTGGTAAAAATAGAGTTGCCGTATGATCTAGCAATCCCATTCCTGGGCATATATCCAAACACAACTACAATTTTAAAAGATACTTGCACCCCTATGTTCACAGTAGTACTATTCACAAGAGCCCAGATGTGGAAACAATCTAACTGTCCACCGACAGATGAATGGATAAAGAAGGCGTGGTGCATATATATGATGGAATATTTCTCAGCCATAAGAAAGCATGAAATAATGCCACTTACAGCAAGATGGATGGACCTAGAGATGATCATACTAAGTGAAGTAAGTCAGAAACGGAAAGATATTTACCATATGATAGCAGTTATATGTGGAATCTGAAATATGACACAAAGGACCTTATCTACAGAAACAGGCTCACAGATACAGAGAACAGACTTATGGCTGCCAAGGTGGGGGGGAGGGTTTGGGAGGGGTGTGTTGTGAGCCCGTGACTAGCAGATGCAAACTATTATGTATAGAATGGATAAACAGCAAAGTTCTTGTGTATAGCACAGGGAACTCTGTTTAATATCCTGTGTTAAACTATAATG